TTAAATGATATAAGCCAAAAAATATTCTAAAAATTGAAACATTTTTTTTTGTCTAATGGCTTCAGATAAATTAAATGATCGAACAATCAGCAAGTCTAATTGAAAATACACATCCTGTAAAAGTGAATTCAAACACGGAATAAATCGCTGCTATTTAACTTGAAAATTGTCTACAAAATAGAAGGGGGAGTGGGAGATAATTCCCTTGCATGTTAACATCAAAACCAAATTCCCAAAACATACCAAAATTAGAACTCCTTTTATATTTATAACTATTAGGGAAAAAAAATAATTAATACAAAAAGATGAAGGAGACAACTGATGAGGGGAAAGCAAAAATCGAATTAATCAATTAGGATTAGAAAACTGATAAGAGAGGAGGATAAAAATCGAATTTATCATATGATACTTCTGAATTTTTAGGATGTTCGTGGACTATATACGCCCCTCCTCGGACGCGCACCCCATTGGCACCCACAGGGAATTTCCCATGGGGGATGCGTCCATGCCCGTAGCCAGCTTTTTGTAAGGGGGCTCGAACCACCCCCGATAGTACCCCCTCCCCCCCCAGCGAAAAAGCGCGAGAAAGGGGGATCTGGGGCCCGGTCTGGGGGAAGAACGTCTTTGGTGCATTCTGACCAGTTTCGGGCGAGAAATGGGGGTCTGGGAGGTTCTCCCCTGGCAAATTTCGAAAATTTAACATAATTTAATTTGATGCATTCTGACCAATTTCAGAGCGAGAATAGGGGGTTTGAGTTCCCCCCCCCCAGAAAATTTCGAAAATTGAACATTATTTGGTGCATTCTGACCAGAACTGGGGGGTTCTCCCCTAGCAAATTTCGAAAATTTAACATAATTTAATTTGATGCATTCTGACCAATTTCAGAGCGAGTATAAGGGGATCTGGGGGGGTTCTCCCCCCCAGATCGCGGAAATGATGCGTACACCCGAACGACCCCCTCAACGACCAACAAATCTCCCAAAATCATACAGTTTAAACTTTTCACCATTTTGAGCAGTTTCAAGTGGTTTTTAGGACCAACGTTTTCAAAAGTGAACCCCCTTGGATTCTTGAAAAGTAGCCCCCTTGATAAAAACTGGTTACGGTTTTTGTTCTTAAGAAACTGTTATATTCATCTTAGTTTGGGGAAATAAATGCGTATTACTGGATTGAGACATTTGATGACACAGTGTCTGTTTCCCGTCAGCTGCATTGATTGCATCATCATGGGAAAACGGGATTGAGTCTATATTGAACTTATTAATTAAAAATCAACGGAGGTTTTGCTCATTCACCTCTTTAAGTGGTTAGGAATATCAAATAACTCGGACGTTGCTTTCTTGATCATAAATGTGAACCCCCTTGTCGGGGTTCAGCCCCCCCCCCACATAACATGACATAAGCTTGGTACGGGTCTGCACTTGGACTAGCCTTTAACCCATGTTTTAAGAGTCAATTATCCATTTAAAATCATAGCCTTGTAAATAACTGCTTTTGACACTTATCTGTGGATTTGCAAATAGGTCCCCGATAATCCCTTATTTCTCCAGAATGTCTGTTTCTGTGTGTCCCCCCCCCAGTAACAAATCTACATGTATATTATCTCCATCCCAAAGGTGATCCGAAATTTGAAAAAGCAGAAGCGTATATGGACATTGGCAAGGTTATAGGGGAAGCGGGCTGTTACCCTTCACATTGTTACACTAGCCGTGCGTCAAGCATACGGCGACCCGGACGGCGACCGCCTGCTTTTCCCAGTTTTAATCTAAACCGTTGCTCATATAATGAAAAGAAAACAATGTACTTATTGAATTCTAAATCACTCAGTAAATATGTTTCAAATTTTTTGCTTTTGTCTTTGGAGGCTAAAGATAGATTAAAGTAAGTGTTAATTCTGACTTATCTGCTTATAATATGATTGTAATTGTGTCTCATAAGCCTTTGGAGGCTAGCCGTATAATTACGGGTGACACTGTAATAAATAAATAAATAAATATATTGCTATCATGATTGATTTTCACATCAAAAGTCCCAGTTTGTTAAAAATACTGATGATACTTGATTTTCCGGAGTTACTATACAGGTACATATAAAGAATGTATTTAAAAGTCATAGGCTGGTGAAATTTACTACATGATACGTATGTTGGATGATTTTGATTTGTCTTGTTTTATTATTCAACTGCTAGCCTTGTTGCATTTGGAATAAACGCAACAGGCGTTTGCAGTTCTATGTCATTTGTGAAATGAATTGATTTGAAAGGCATCACGTGAAGGGGGGGGGAGGTCGAAGCTGGCGCAAATACAAAATATGTCTGAAAACCCCGGCTGAAAACAAATATATGCTATCAAAGTCAATTGGATTATTTATACTGTAGTAGATCGGATGTTGTCGTTTCAAATATGCAATCAGACGGCGTGTGCGGAATGTTACTTAATCAGTTCTCGGCCGATTTTTAAAATTCATGAGAAAATAACATCTGAAGCCAAGATGTTCTACTATATTGTGATAAGCTTTTTGACCCCGGTTTTTGACTATTAGCTTTTAGATTATGTGCAAGTTAAATAGCAGGGATTAATTTCCTAATGAGACAGATTTATATTTTGCAATCAGATTCAGACGGATTAAATTCTTCTCTCTTTTACAGGATGTGTATTTTCAATCAGACTTGCTGATTATTCTTCGGTTTATTTCAAATTTAATTTTAGAGATATATATTGTTATTCAATTGTAAGAATTATAATATGGAAATAAATATAACATAACATAACATATTATAAAAATCAACATCACGCCCGATGATCGGAAGTAATGAACGGAGGGGGGGGGGTAGCCGATTTTGTCAAAGAATTCAACAAATCTGGAAGATTTATTGTTTCAAGAGAAGGTTTATAATTATAATTCAATTGCTAAATTAATAGGTGCATGACATTGGGAAATATGTTCTAGGTATTTTTTTCAACCGATAGGCTTCTTAGATATAAGATTTATTCAAAATAGCGCAGTCACAAACTTTCAAATGTCAATGTTTTTGCTATAAATATCAAGCAACGGGGGTCTACATTCTACACGACCTGTTTTTAAAAGCTTTGTAAAAGTGCAGGACCGTAATCACATTTTGTCAAT